GAGCTTTCATTAGACAGGCTCTCACGTACGTACCCCCATCCAAGATAGAATTCGATTTCAAATATCAAGAAAATTCAGTAGCATGTCATTGGGTCCTTAGCTCTATGCTCTATCAGTACTTGTTCAGTTTAGATTTTCTGTTTTAATACAATTTAAACTGGATAATAATTAAGAGACGGAAGGAGTAAATGAAAGTGATATAAGCTAAGCATCCCATATCAATTTTTAAAAAAATTTTTGTTTGCAAATTTCGGGGACACAATTCTGGCTCGTTTAGTTCTTTGTGCACACTGCTCCTTCAATAATGACTCCACCAGCTGCACTAGGAAAAACATTGTTGTAATTGTTATCGTTCAAATTATTTCGGAAAATGTATACAGTTGGAGAAATCAAAAACAGAATTTTGGATGTTTTGTCGATTTAAGTTAATGATGAAAACAATTAGTACAAAAATTAGTGAATAGAGACGTACGTATAACTGGCCTGAACCTGAAAAATGTCATATTCATAGTAGTCCTACAGTAACAAAATCCAATGGAGAAATAATTAGAGACTCATGGTTCAAATTTAATATATTTGTCTCATAAACTTATTAATGTCCCCCAAAACAGAAAACATTCTACTAATTATCTACTGATAAAACCAAATAGGGGCCACTTGTCATTCTTACATATAACGACATAAAGAACTTCTGCATGGTGTGGAGAAAACAATAAACGAATAGTTTAAATCATCAATTTGAAAAAGGGATCTATGCATTAAAAAAAAAGTGGTGAACTTACTTTATTCAACCGAAGAAAAATTATATTCCAATAGATAAATAAAATACAAGAAACTAAGCAAAGAATCTATAGTTTGCAGTTACCTAGGAGAATGATAATGGCAAGACAAAGAGAGATTGATTAAAAAAAAAAGAAGAAGAAGTATTGACCGCGATATCCCTCTTATAATTTTTTCTGAAATAATATGCCAATTCATTAAGAAGATCCACGGTTTATATAGGAAAATATCCTGCGCTCTTATAAGATGGCCAATAAAATAATAATAATAATAAAATATGTTCTTTTATCCCAAAAATGTGATTTCTTGTGTCTAAAATACTTACTCCCTCTGTCCCAAAATTATTGGCATGTTTGAGATTTCATTTTTAGAACAATTTAAACTAAAAATAAAAATCTAAATTGAACAATAATTATGGTACAGGGGAGTACAGCAACTTCATCGCCGTTATTTAATCCAACTTCATCGTCGTTATTTAATCCAACTTCCTCAAGTTAGGTGATTTGAGGAGACTGGTTCTAATAAAAGTGACTGCGTGATCATCAACTTCATCGTCGTTATTTAATCCAACTACCCTAATTAGGAATTAGGAGTATTTTTTTTCCCCATACTTGTTGTTATAGTTACCCGTAGAAATGTAGATCAGCCTTTATAATAAGTTATTTTCTTCTGTTTGGAGAGTTAGTCATTCCTGAGGCTCCAAATTTCAAGTTTTCGAGTGGATATTCTCATTTTTCTCATGTAATTGAGGGTACAGCAGCACTTCTATCCTCAGTTGACATGGCCCAGAATCAGGCACAAGTTACACATTCATGTGAAAAAGTAAGACTTTGCTTTTTGATTTGCTTGTATTCCTTGAAATCACATTTAAGTAAAAAGATCGCATAAAACTTCTTGATTTGTTTGCCACCAAAAGTGTTTACCTCCTCTCCTTGTTTATGAAGTGTCTTCACTAGGACATGCTGCCATGCATCTAGTATCGAGTTTAACTCTATTATGACTTAAAGATTAGGACTATAGTTAGAAGCAGTCTAGCATAAAGAGCTTATTACCTATTGAACATCTCCTCAGGGTTAACTGTTGGCTCTTTCAGTACTACTACCAGATCATTGCAATTTATCGTACCAAGCCTCTTTTTCTCGGTTTGACACGCCAAATCTGAAGAGCTATGTCCTTTCTCTTATACTACCTCCGTTCCAAAAGAAATAGTCCACAAACTCAATGTGGACTATTTTTTTAGGACGGAGGGAGTAATTACCAATACCCAGGATAGTCCCGAAATTATTTTGGTTTACTTTGAAACTTTTGTGCACAGCCAATTTACTAATCTTGCCTCGAGGTAAATAAATCTTTATAGCCTGTGTCAGTATCCATCTGTATAGTTAATCAACTTTAAACTGTCCCCATAACATCCAGAGTTTCGTGCAGCTGAGATTATTCTCGATAATATGTACTCAAAAGTTTATCGCAATTCTTTTGTGGCTTATCGATTTCAGTACAAAAGTCAGGTTTTATAATGTATTGTCATGCCTGAATGCAGCTCTCTCCACCTTTTCATGGACTTGGCCCCTTTTTATGTATGAGAAAGCAGAGTGAACGTACAGCCGGTTCAGGTAGTTGGAGTCGGCCAACTTTGGGGAAGAACCTGATAACCAGCTTCATTGCGTTCTCTGTTTGCTTCCATCGGCCATAAATTATATTCATGGAACTATAAGGAGCATCTGATGATCTTGAACATCATTTTCACATTGATTCCAATCTTTGTAAATAATTACTATAGCAACGTGTCAACATATCATAATTTACAAACTTCGTGTTCCGGTTCACAGAAATGGGACGGAAAGAATTACAGCTACTAGCTAGCACATGATCATCAGTTTAAAGAAAAGTTTTACAAAATAAAACTTATTACTTTTGGCTATTTCACTGAATCTTGTCCCTTGTGCAGTTGTACCAATTGATGGATTGAATAAAATGATCTCGATTGCAGATAAATTATGTACCTGGACAGTTTTGACGGATGAATATCATCTATGCATCACATTTAGCCATTGGTAAATGAGTTTCTCGCATTTTTGTGTCACCAAAATTTCTTTAATGTTGTAGAAATGTACAATTTTAGGAAGTTTTCTTCCAAATCTGGTAAGCCTGATAGAATCGTACTTCTTTGGAAACTTCATGTTATCTCTGGTAGGCTCAATAATTTCCTGATCTACTGAATCTTTCTCCAAACACTTTTCTTTTCTCAAATAGGTGTTCTTTGAGAGAGCCCGACAAGATCACTAGTTTTTCTTTTCCCTTTCTTTTGGTGTATTTTAACCTTTTTGGCCGGCTATGAATTTTAGATAGGAATACTGCTCTCTTCTTCTTTTTAAGAAGCGAATGATATGGATTGGATTTAATTGATTCTTTTGCTGTTGCTGATAATTTCTTCTAAACAACTTTGTAGCCAGCCCGCTTTGCTTCTTTGGGGCATAGTTTTAACCTAATTTTAACCAATCTTAGCTTGTGAACTAATTTTATATCAACAACGGATTTAGAGGAGACCAAAAAAAAGGTAATTCATATGGTGAACCTTGTTCACCATTCTCGGTACACTTGTGTATTTAATACAATTTAAATATGGAATAAAAATTAATTAAAATATTATTAAATTACTCCATTCTCTCTCACCATTAATTTCATATATCATATTTCCAAATACACCACAAAAGAATCAATATTCCAATAATTTTTTAGAACTCTCCTTTTATTAACAATTACTAATAGGGAATTGACAAACAATTTAAGTTTACTAAAAAATTATGAAATTTTGATTTATATGTCATGAAAAATTTTATTCTAATTCATGAATTTCCTATAAAATGCGTATGAATATATGAATCCCTAAATTCCAGATTAATATTTTCATTTTTAGTATGAAAATTTGTGTAATTCTCATGAACATCATTGTATATGAGTATGAATATGTTGTTTTGTCTTTTTATATGTGACTAATCTTCCAATTGTCATGAAAATTGTGAAATTTTAATACACGTGATATGAAAAGTATGATTGTCGTTCATGAATATTTCATAAAAACAATATGAACATTTATATTTTACGTGATCAATTTATTGATAGTTCTCCAATTTGTATGAACATTTCACAAAATATTCATGAATAGTGACTAATGTGTGTAGAAATATAATATTAAATAGCACTCGAATTTTACTTGTGATTAATATTTATAATTTTTTAAAATCAAAATCTATGAACTTTATATATATTTGATATGAAACATATGATTTTCATTTATGAAGTTTACATTATATGATCAGAAACCTTTAGTTTTATATAAAAGACTATCATTTTAATTTATTGTTATTTCTTTCGGTTTGAATTTTTCATTGTTATTTCTTTCTGTTTGAATTTTTTACATAGTTATATTTGAGCTTGAAAATAGGACATCAAAGATTAAATGTAGAGAGAGAATTGTCTAATTTTTAAAATATTTTGATTATTATTATTCCTTAAATAGATTACATTAATTATATCAATGCACCATATATGGTGAATATGGTGCACAGTATAAGAAGTCAAAAAAAAAAAATACATGAATAACTCATTCCCTTAAAGAGGGAATGAATATAAACATCATTAATAGCTATATTAAATAGAGAGTATATTTGTCACACACTAAATATTTAATAGATAAAGTCGATGTTAAGCCCCTGAGAGAATTTTAAAAGTTTTACACCCTCTTTGGGAATTTTAAAATATTGTATTCCACCATTGTTTCTCTTTTTTTATTAAAAAAATAGTGTGCGACTTTGAATAACTGATGTTGACATTCTCACTCTTTATTCTTCGTTCAGGGCAGCAGCAAGCTCTTTCACAGAACAGATTTTAGACCAACAAAGATAACCTCCTTCGTATAATAAAAAAAACTACAAAGATAATCCAATACCCCTATGAAAACTCAAATAAAAGAGGCAAAGAAAGGCATGAAAAGCAGCAGAAATTACTATCATAAACCAACAATCTTTCAAATGAAAAACAACATCAGTTGGAGAACTTCTAAACCAGTTCCAGCCAGGTCCTACCAGTCAGCGAATGGGTTTTCTAGTCAACTGAGCCCGAGGGATTTAAAGAATTCTCCTATGATGTAAAGATGTTCCTAAAGAACATGAAAATAATTTTTCTTACAAATGGTAGTACATCTGGTAACTAGAATCCAATCAAATATTGAATGGCGACGAAACCTTAGAGCTGCAGTCTGGACAAATTGAACCAATTGCACCTCCTGTTTGAGTTGTAATAGGCTCTTGATAAAATTCATTCCTACACCACATACACACGGTAGGTACCTGATTTGGAACACCTACGTTGGGCATCAAAGCATCCCTTCCCAACCAAAATGAAGAATCAAATCCCAGTCCAGAGTTGACATCATACTGGAAACCCTTTGATCCCCCCGGAAGAGAAGTTGAACTTTGTGATGTCATAAAGCTATGTTCAACTGGTTCACTTCTTCCTAAACTCAGACCTCCAAAACCAATCCCACTGTCGTACTTCTGATTGACTCCAAAGAGACCACCACCCTGCAATCAATAGCATATCATAGACATATATTAATGGCTCCCCAAATGTAGAAGCAAGAGGTTGGCACATTCTTCACCATTAGATGTCATCAAATTAGATATCAGCAAATTTGGTTACAGACACTACTAATGAGGCCGCTGACCGACTCTCATCCTACCAACTTTTTCTGCATAGGTCTGATTCTCAGTTCTAGTTTAGAACACAAACATCCTTCCTTTAGTCCACAATACATTACAGCAATTGAGCATTATAAAAGGGATTCAGTTTATTAATCCCTGAATTCCTTGAGAATCCAGAATACCTATAATGCCTTGTACCGTCAACCATGTACCTTTAAATGCCTAAAGCTAAAGGCTGGTTCCGATGAGACGCTGTTTCAACAGTTTTTGAAGCACCTCATGGGAAAAAAACCTACCACTGAACCCCATCATAGAACTATTTTAGTCTCAAAGGTGGTTCCCATGAGACGCTGTTTTAACAGTTTTTGAAGCACCTCATGGGAAAAAAAACCTACCACTGAACCCCACTATAAAACATTTTTAGTCTCAAAAGAGAGTGGAAAATCATTTTCCCACTACATATTCAATTAATTCGACACAAAAGTTACCTAAATTGTTCCGATTTCATAAAGCAGAAAAAGCTTTTCACTCTGGCAAAAAAACACAACTACTAAATGAATCCTCAGCACAATTGACTGAGCAGCAATACTTACTTTTCTAGCATAGAGATTTCATCGATCTAGTTTGGCTTGCTTTCCAGAAATAATTTGTAATCTAACAGATAAAGCATAAATTTTCAACCACGCGAAGGGGAAGAGAACATGGGAGGTTTTCTCACCACATATGGAATTTATGAAATTTAATGAAACTAAGTTCAAGTCCCTGGGAATTATCTAAGATATTTTCTGCATCTGAAATGTACAAACAAGCCAAAAGACAAGAATATGTTACATAATGGAAATTAAAAATGGCAGATTTGTACCAGTATCACTCACAAATGGATGAACTTTTAGTGAAAATCAACAACTTGAATCAAAACAGAACAAAGAAAATCTCAAAATATACCTTTTCCGAAAGAACATCAAAGTCGCGAAAGCAATCCGCTGGCTGTGCTGTTGTGGTTAAAGTATTGGATGGACCCGTATGCAACGTATTTTCTTCACTTGTCCTCCAGATGCTGCCAGACATCACATCTTCAACAGGCTGGGCATTAGTACCATCAAAGTTGAGCATAAAGTTTCTGCTAGAATTTCCAACTTCACCTAGTTTGGAGCCTTCCCAAAGTTTGTCTGAATAAATAGTGTTAATGTTGCTTTCAAAACCGAATGTTCGATCACCAAATGTTGAATCATGTATATCAAAACCGAAAGATCTAACTTCTTTGGGATTTATTGGATTAACACGGGAATCAACGTTCAAGTTACCCTGAACACCAAACATTTGCTTCATACCAGAGTCAACATCAACCCTCTCTGCAGGATATCTTTCCAACACAAAATTGTTGCAATTTTGTTGACCATCATAAGCAAGAGATAGCTCTTGACTTTTGGAGTTCCCAGCGTCATTAAGTTTGGACTCTTGTGCAGTGTAGACATTATGCATGTCATAGGTCTGATGTGAAGCCCCAACCATCAATGATTCAGAAAGTAAATGCTGAGTTTTGCTATCTTCTACCACATTCTTGTTAAAGTTCGAGACAGCATTTTCAGCCTGCTCATAGGGAAAAAAGGAACGAAATTCCAATCTACGGTCATTCTTACTGCTTTGTATGGCATCCATCTTCCTCACATTGTTATTACTGTTGAAAGGGGACACCGTTTCATCATTCCTAGCACAATGGAAATCACTTGCTTTGGCCTCCTCCATTTGCCTTGCAGAAACCCCCCCAACACCCTGCCCAAGATCAGAATTTGCTCCAAAAGAAGGAAAACAAGGTAGACTGTCTTCAACAGCTTTCTGCCGCTCATTGCCGTTGTTGTAGCAAGAAGAAACATTATTGCTGTACTCGTTAGTAGGACTTACTCCCTCATTGAAGGAAAAATTGACTGTGGAGTTCCCTATAACTGCTTTTTCCTGTTCAGCCTTATCCATATCAACAGAAGTGCCTAGAATCTTTATCTCACTACCACTTGATTTCCCGTCTGATGGGAAAGAGAGGCAGCCTTCAGTTTCCAATCCCCGCACATCCAAATCTTTAATATTACCACCCTCTATCTCATCAGCGCTCTTCGTAACATTTACAACATTAGAGTTTCCAGAGCCCATGTCGATTTTATCTACATGTTCAACCATATTTGCATCATCACTGGATCCTGCAAATTTACTGTTATCATTATGCTCCAAATTCGCTTCTGAATTGAAAGAGGAAGTGGGTTTTGCAACATCCACATCCATCGACTCGTGAACTTCTCCAACTTTGTTATTGTTTTCCTTCAACTCTTCATTTGGCTCACCAGTACCACAAGGCGAATAAATATTTGGAGCTTGATCAGCATCTGTCCCAAGGATTTCTGCACCAATATTATTTTCTGTAGCTGCTGAAGTTTGCGCTGCAGCTCCCTGAGAAATAAATTCAGATGCAGGTGTAGCTCGTAGTTCATCCAAACTTTTCCCTTGGTACCTGACATGGGCTCCAACATGGCCATTATACCGGCGTCTTTCAACAAACGTCTTATGGCAGAACTGACACTCAAATTTCCCATCTTTAATTATTACCCCGTCAGTAATGGATTCACCAGTTTTTTGTTTCGTTCTTCTATGGGAAGACAGTTGGTGTAGGGAATAATCATTCTGACCTGAATGACTTAAATTGCTCTTCCCACAATGTAAAACCTCTCCCCCTTGGGCAGCGGGCAGATCACCAGTCTCAATTGCTACGTCAACCTGGACATCAGTACATGTTGACGGAACAGCTGGTGATACCACTGGACATGAAGGATTACCCTCTCTTACCAGATCAGCAGCCAGATCTACAGTCTGCATTTCCTATGTTAGCCAAAAAACAACAAGGAAGAGAAGCATTTCTCGGGATGAATAAATCGAGAAGATATACCTTAGGAAAATCGACACTATTGGCAGTCTCCGTGCAAGCATCACTTTGTGTGTAAGAATTGTGAGTTTCATCTTGCATGTCACGAATGGATAGCAAATATGAAGCAATTTCCTTGCACGTCTCGAAATGCCGTCCGTTAGGGCTATAGCAAAATAAGGAAGTTGTAAGCATTAAATGATCTTTTCCTTTTTCATTGATTTTCCAAACATAAAGTTCCACAAGTCTACGATTATCACCATCATCAAACAACAAGCAAAAGAACATATAGGCAGTAGCGGAACCAAAATACAAAACTGAAGCTCGTTGAATAATCAGGAGAACAGATATAACTATCAAAGAAATATAACAATTCGATTATCAGCATACGCAAAGAGCAGTCTTTTGGCCTAATTTGGAAGTTTTCATTGTGTTCCTCAAGAAGTAAATAAACTCTTTCGATGATAAAATAGTTAAAGAAAAGCAATTAATACACTCAGGAATCACTCAACTTTGGGCAAAAATTTTTATTCAAACTGCCTTATTCCCCCAAAACAGACTCTAACTATAATTAACCAAGCTAATGAACTCTTCACAGGACATGGAGTTCTTTATAGTATCGCATTGCATGGCCTTGATGTCAAGCAAAAAGCCTATCGCAAAAAGATTTAGTCTGTAAATAACTCTAGATTGTTAGTACATGTAAACTTGATCATGTCATAAGTGAATAACTCTCAATTGGTCACTCTTTCACATGTCGCAAAGTTTCTTCAGGTAGCGAGTTGCACAGCTTTGCCCTGAAGTAAATGGAATGTCATGATAGTCTAGTTCATAAATTTTTCCGAGCTTCTAGGATAATTCAACATGTCTAGAACTGACAAAATCTTCTCATTCTTCACAAATGCCAGGACTTACTTTGAGCTTCCATCACTAAACTCCACTTCATCAACAAAACTAGAGTGGGTTATCACAGATATGGCAGTAACCATGTTCAGTTATCTCATTGATACTATTTACCAAACCCCAATAAGGTACAAGAGATTATGACCGATGATAACGATAGGGTAAGCTACTGGTCCATTATACATTGCCTTATGGAATAGAAATCAATATCTCATGCCTTTATCCTAAGAACGGGCAAACAATTATACATCAGACTAAAAGGCTTTTTTCTTGGTTAACATCTTCTTTTTACTGGTTTACGTTAATGGGTGTCAGATGGTTCTCTGTCAACTACATTTCTTGATGTGTTCTCCACAATTATTAAACAAATAATGTCTGTATTGCCGGCACAATAAATCAGCAAGGTATCACCTACTCCTTCCCCATTCATTTATCTTTTCTCCCAGCAATTTTCCTAGCCTCCTTTTCTCTAGCTTTTGGAAAGTCTACATATCTCACTCTCAAGGATTCCCTTTATACAATCATGAACTTATCACAATAAGAACTGAAATAAGCATATGACAACAAATAACATCTTATCTTCCTCAGATGCATAAACAACACTCAGCAATAAATGAGTAATACCAAAACAATAAACCGAAAAAGAGAGAGAGAGAGAAAGAGAGAGAGAGAGAGAGAGAGAGAGAGAGAGAATCAATGGTTTAGAATAACCTTATATAGCGGCGGCAATGCAACCAACAATGGCGATCCTTCCTCTTTATAGCAAACAGAAGAGACCAACCATTGGGCAACACATTCCCAAATTCATTCGCATCCACAATCCGCCTCTTCTTCCTTGTACTTCCCCATCGCCCATCCACCCCTCTCATAAACTCCAACAACTCTTCCTCAGTCGACATGCCATGAGTCCTGCGCATTAGCTCTGGTTCGTATGGATCATGCATCCCCCCTAAAGCAACCAAATCCACCTCAACTCCATCCTTTCTCAAAATTTCCCTTTCCCTACTCCTATCCTGCAAGTCCATACTCTCAACCTCAATCCGGACATCCTTGGCCTCATTAACATTAGGCAGTTTTACCTCACTCGCAACCTTGTTCTCCACGAGAACAAGAGGAACATTTTCAACCTTCCGTGGCCTACCACGCTTCCTTTTCTGCCCCGTCAAAGGCGCCAAAGGCGGGGCGCCGAGTTGGGGCAAAGATTCCGAATAATCAACCCTAACTGGGACTAATTCCTCATGAACAACTTCCTCATTTACAGCTTCCTCATTTATACTACAAACACTAGTATTGTCCAAACCAAACAGTTGCTTAAAAAGCGCAAGGATTTGTTTATTCTCACCTTTCTCGGGATCCGAATCCAGATAATGGTAAGGGAGATTGCTGCTGGAATGGCGGAGGTGCGGAGTTCTGCGGCGGAGGGAAGAAGCTCCGGCGGAGGTTGCGGAGGGATCTGACGGGGGAGCAAGACGGAGGCGGGAGTAGGTTTGTTTGCGGGAACCGGCGGATTCGTTGAAGACGGAGCGGTCGATTTTGGGGATAACAAAGTCGAAGGCGTCGAAACTCGAAGAAGAAGAAGAACAGAGGGAGAGGGAGTAGAGTTCCGACTGAGAAAGGCTCCGGAGATCAACGGTTGGTATTGAATCGACGAGAAGTGGCGGTTCAGATGCGGTGGCGGTGGCGGTAGCGGTGGCGGTAGCGGTGGCTGTAATGGCCGAAGCCATGGTCGTTAAGTTGTAGAAACGTTTGCTGGGGTGTTTGAGAACTGTACTTTGGAGGCTTACCAAAATTAAAATAAAGAAAATAATTTGTAGAAAGATTGTGATATTACTGAATTTTTTTAAAATACTGTATCCCGGTATACCAAAATTAAAATAACTTTTCACTTTTACTTTAATTTGTACTGAAATTGAAAATCTAAATTAAAATGGTATACTAACTGGTAAATTGTTATGCCTAAAGTGGGACTCGAATTTGAGACTTTTGAAAAATATGGGTAAAAAAATTATATTAACTTTTATCGTATAAAATTTATTGTATAATTTTTTTTAGACACAAATTCGTTCATATAATGTTGATACTAAAACTCTCGTAATTAATTTTTCCAAAATAAACAATTTATTTTATTTTTGGGTAAAAAATTTGGTTAATTTAAGTATTTCTTTGAATTATTTTAAACATATAATATACTATTAACAAGCTTTGGGGGTCTCCAAAAATAGGGCCCTAAAGCCCTAACTTTAGTAGTTGTCGCCTGGTCGGAACAAGCCGGACCTGAAGTTGTTTAATCTTGTAATCAATTTCCTGAATTTTTGTGTCTATAGTATGTCTCGAGGAGATATAACAATTTATTCAAATCCAGTCGTTTTAGTCTATTATAATATATTCTTCTATTGATGGTTTAGAGATAGCTGGTGTTAGGGCCCGTTTGATAAAACTTAATTCGGGTCTGAAGTCTGAAATCTGAAGACTGAATCATAAGTGCTGAATTGATTAAGTTTGTCGTGTTTGATAAAAACTAAAATCTAAACACTGAATAAAATGTCTGAAATCTGAAGTCTAAACACTGAAATTTAAAGTATGTCGATTTATAATTTTATCTAAAAAATAATTGATGTATATGAAACTATAATAACAAAAATAATAATATTAGTATTAAATAATGTAATAAAAATATTTAAATTTTATTATGTTATTATTTTTTCAGTTAATAATAATGTCATATTTTATCATTGTCAAAAAAAATTTCATATTTTATGGTAAAGATATATTGATCATGGAATTTAATGGATTTTAATTTTTATATAAAAATAAATATATATTAAATAAAAAATAATTTACGTAAATTTTAATTTAGAACTAGACATCATGATTAATAAAAATATTTCAAGATAAAATATCAAAAGTATAAACATAAAAATAAATAAATAGAAAAAAAATCGTCTCAAGAATTTAGTTCAGACATAATAGTTGCATGTTTTGATGGAAGTTGTATAATCTTAAAGCATTAGTTCCCACACTATCAATGGCTTAGTCAATAACTGAACAATGAAGACTACCGTGGATACCATCCAATTCGACACGAACCCTGAATGATTTCAACGTTACAGAAGAAATGCGACAAAGAACTTGCCTTAGCAAGAAATTTTGCATATTATTGATGCATTTGAAAAGATTTCCAGGTGAAAAACACAGTCAATCCCCGTTCCACCTAGGGTTTTTCACATTTGGTCATTTAGACCCTTGAATGATGAACGAGATCTAGAGAAGGGGTTCTATCTCCGTCTAATTACCATAACTTGTGAGTTAACTATAGCATATAGACATATCCACCTGATGGTACAAAAACTCAAGAAAAGAAGAAAGGAAAGAACTACGAGAAAGTTGATGTAAGAAACCGATAAAACTGGATCAACCCTACAAACTTGATACACAGAGAAACATGATCGCATGGATTCCATGTGAAGGAAGAATTTTCCGGCGTCAACGAGGAGTCTCTCTCTTAACAAACATCTTTTCATAGTCATTTGGGGGTCGGGTGGAACCATCTGGCATGCTTACAAATTTCTAGCCACCACCATCTCCCTGCTTTCCTCGTGCTTCTAATTTCTCAACTATCATGTTCCAGCCCTCAGATGGACTCCTTCGGCTATATTTGTGACATTTCACCTCCTTATTCATCTGCAAGATTCGAGAATTATAAATCACGCATAATAACAACAACATTCTCAAGTTTGAGATCGAAGGGAACATCCAAAAAGATTATTATTCAAATCTCAAATCTCTTAAAACAGGAGTGAAGAGATCAACAAGTCAACCTATAAAGATTCTTTTTCTTCTGCTAAGTTGTATTAATATGCCTCTGGAAAAATTGCTTTTCCTCGCTATAACTTGGTAAGCTCTACAAATTGTTTGCTCAAATATTTAAATTGAATGAGCTCAATCTATCTCTCTTTATTAAAAATGAAAAAAAAAAAGAAATAAAAAACCCAGCTAGAACCAGTGAAAACATGACAAACCAGAAACTGTAGGAAATGGAAACTACAATGCAGAACTTGAAGAACTCTGAATCAATAAGACAACTGGCTTACAGTAAATGCCTGCGAAGATATGAATAATTAATTATCGTCTTTTACAATATAGTTTCCCCAATATGGATTCTGACATTTATCATTGTGTCCACCAAATACATGTAATACCCCTTTGCTCAAGGAATTGGTCAAATAGTTTTATCACATAAAAACAACATAAATGATGGCGTCTTCCTGCTATCATCCATTGAAATACAATATTCACCGCCGTAATACAGTTATTTCACATACTAGTAAGATACGATTGATGGTATAGGAAAAAATGTGAGAACAAAAACTTCATTATACAAAGAAGAGTAAACACAAAGTTAACAAATTACAGTTTAAGAAAACATGAATTGGACTTGTCAGGCCTGATATTTTGCAAGGTTGATGGCATGATTGGCAGACAAAAGTCACTTTCTTTTGTTATCATAACCAATCAAAACCTTGCTGCTCACTAAGTGGTGTTTGTTACTTTACTCTTTCAAAACTTCATTTAAATCTTTCCTTCATTTTTTTTACTATAAAATTCCTCTTTTTTTTATCCTAAGAAATGTATCCCTGAGAACAAAACATAATCTTAGTTTGCAGATTGTTTCTCTGCTTTTATCCTCCAAAAAGACCTGTCGTTTCCCTGATAAATGTATGGTGCACTATGCTATTTTTCATAAGGCAGAGAACTTTGTAGATTGATTCACTGTTCTGCAGGTCTGTAATGAAATAATAGAGAGTTCACCCCAAAAATGCTCTATAATCTAATTTTATACTTCTCTTGCTGGACTTCGTTCTTTAATTCAAAATATCTGCATGAATGAATGGCTAGCCATTACTTTTTGATAGATGAAAGAATATAGCAAATGTTGTACGAAACAACGCCACCTACCCAGCCTCCACACATCATCAAGGAAGCTTTCTTCCGCACCTAACAACAGTGGAGTTGTCACTCTCACTAACAACGGACACTACTCTCTACGTAAAAACAAAACTTCCCTTTTTCTCCTCCAAATACTAGTAACATCACCCCTACCCCTCCAAAACAACAGAATCAACATATTGAACAATAAAGTTAATATTTCAAATCAACAATAATGCAGAAAAGAGGGGAAAGAGGGGGGTGTCGAGTTACTTGACTCCAAGTCTCCAAATATATATATATTTTTCAACTTAAGCCCAGGTTCATACTAATATTTGTATATTTCAAATACATTTGCATAAACTTTCTCAACACATAGTTTGATATTTTACAATCTCAATTCAATCAAGAGCCAAAAGTAAATCCAAAACAAGACTGATGAAACAGGCCTTACGCACTCCAGAGGATAAATTATTGACAATCTACGGCTTACGAAATGTTAGATGGCGCATTCACTCCTAAGATACGTATATATTTGAACAATTCAAAACTAGACATGTGAAAACACACTGTACAGGCAAAAATTCTAAATTTATCCTCTTCGAGATAAAGAAACCAATCTTACCTTCATCTTGTTAAAGTTCATTCTTTGGACGAACTCTTGATATAACATCTCATCTTCCCTCATTGATATCTCATAGTGCACTTCATCAGGATCTCTAGTCGTGCCATCCCAGCCTTTAGGTATAACTTTGAAGTCCGGCTTGTAAGGGAGAGACGCAACATGAAACTCTCTCTCTCGTGAGAATTAAAGAATATGCAAATCACAAATAGAAACATTAGAGAAATTGGACCAACTCGTCACCGTAACTTCAAGCTCACACATATGACTCGACAAATTACAAGAAAAAGATAATATGTACCTACGACTCTTGAACTTAAGTAAGATTCTTATGCAACAACCATTGACTACAATAAAACAGGAAGCAGTCATTTATACTAGCAGAATGAGAAACATAAGCCAAACCAGTATAAACAGGACTACATGCTTCCATAACATATAAGACTTGCAAATTTAAAATCCACGTATCAACGTGACTAGTTTCGACTAATATCTGGGTAAATCAATTACAGCAAATAGAAGTCTAAACTCTAAAGAAAAAATAACTTAAAGCTTCTCCAAGGAGTATGAGAAGGAACATTATCAGTGTTGTCAGGATCAAGATGCAAACAGCAAGTGAATCTTCAAATTCAAAGTAGCTCTATCACAGAAAAACAAAATAAATCCATAAAAGTGTAGTTATACAGATTTTAGCCAGTAGTATATGACAAGATCCACCACCTCACCTCATCAATTACTGTAAGGTACAAACCAAAGTGCTACAACATTTTCATTTGCAGAGAAACATGAGAAAGTCAAGAAATTTAATGATTGAGATTTACCAAAGAAATCGGAAACATTGACTGCATAAGGATCAGATGCAAGCAACTTGATCATAAATAAAAGAGAATATAATTATATCCCTGGAAGCATAATGACATAAGGCGTAATGAAAATTCCAATCAAGATTATAAGCTCGTAGGCAACCATCCATGATAATGGAATAAAGCCTGAATACTTTATTCCTTCCCAGACGAAGGGTAATACAGATAACAGGATAGTTGAGACATGAATCCTTCTACAGAAAATTTTTAATAGCGACAAGAAAAAATTAAGTAAACAACATCACCCATGAAAAATCCAACTGTAAAGGTAATCATAAGAAGCAATGAAGACTCACAACTAGATTTGTATTAGCAAAAAGAAAAATGAAAAAGAGGCAGTACATTGCATACAAGATTCCGCAAGTCAGGGGAAGAACCCATTGTGGCTTAATCCATTTTCTCTCTATAAGAGGCCATTCTGGTTATTAGAACAGTTGGTTTTGTTTTGTTAAGTACTCTCCAAAAGATACACGGCTAAAATGAAGCATCAAATACAAAGATCATACAGCTACATTAGCACCATCACACCAGTAATGCTTACCCTTTGCAGCAAGCTAGATGAAATTTCAATGACAAGACACATTAACAAAGAAAACAATCCACTCATAAAAATAACTAATAACAACACAAATGTCCTAAACACACCCTAATGAGTAAGACTATGGTTTGGGCAAAGCAGGAAATTTCGCTACAAATTTTTCCAAACGAAAGCAAAAGAAATTTCTAGCAGAAAGGCTCAAAGTGATGGTAGTACCCACCACCACCTAATCCCAAATCTAACATGTATTCCCCTTGTTCCAACTTCTTCTCTTACGGCCCAAATTACACCCCAACTTCTTCTCTTCCTCTTGTTCCAATTCCTTCAACCATAGTATAGCATGTACTCTCTACCGCATAATCCTGTATTCCTCCGCTAATTTCTCCACAGTGTTCACCTCGGGGTTCTCCTTATGTTTCCTATACATCTCTGCTTTCTCCGAATCCTTCAAGTATGATCCACGCGCCCCTGGTTCCCTTATTTGTTTCATCAACACACTCATTTTCCTCATCCTATCATCCCAACTGTCCAGAAAAGCTTTCCCTTTCCTATTTAGAGCCTCTAACTCCCTAATCTTCATTGTTTCCTCATCAGTCCACCGGGTAGGACCCATATGCCCATTGCCGCCACGTCCGCCAACACCATATTCCGGCCCGGGAGTAGTCGGAGCCTGTCCTGGGACCACTTGCTGGCCAACAACCTCGCCGTCGAAGTGCACTTTCGTTAGCCTAGTGGAACACAAGGTATCAGGGGTGTCCCATCCTAAGTTATCATTTCCACCGCCGCCGCCGCCGCCGAAACTGCTTGGCCACTCATTAGGATCGTCGCCGTCATTGCTTGTGGAGCTCGAAAAATAGGGCTTCAAAGACAATAAACCATTCGGATGCTTACAAAAAGGGGGACACTTCCTTGATTGGGTTATGGAGGAGACTAACTGTAGCAAAGCTCGCATTTTTTCCGAAGATGCTTTTCAGATATTTGGTAGTGAATCCAACGCGTCGATTACTCAGCAAATTCGAAATGGGTTTTTTCTTTTCTTGAGTTTAGAGATTGACGAAAGATTGGTTTTTGGGAGCAATGGCATCTAAAAGGGTTTAGGGATTGCAAGTTGATGCAAAGAGAAAGACCAATCGCATGTAGAAAATCAATAGAACCCAATGAAACCAAGAATCGAATTAAACCAACAATGAATATAAACAACAATGGGCATGATTTTCATTAATGATCTAATAGAGAAAGAGGGTTCAATTAGAATTTCAAAATATAATAGGGACCATTAGAGTAATTTTACATTGTTTATATTCCTTCGGCACTGGTTTTGTAATCATCATCGATGAAAATCATTCTGAATATCACCCGATTGTTTTGAGAAGTGTTTGATCTGTAGAGTCGATAATTTTCTAGTATTTTCTGCGCGAATAATTTCAACTAAGAGACTTGCTATTCATAAACCTTGATGCAGTGAGTGGTCACACGAAATAAGACCATAGGATAGTTTTTGAACCGCACTCTATTCGTAGCCCTACGTATGAAATTTGGATTAATGATTGCATAATTTTCCTTGTTTTTTGTGAATCAAATACATTAATGAAAGTGTCATAATAATTTCTTGTAATAAGTCATTTTCATTTGAGAAGCCAAGCGATTACATATTTTCCATGACATATTTATCTACTAAGTTTTTAAGTATTTTTCATGAACTTGGTTAATAGTTGTGGGTCTTCTTAAAATCTCATGTAAGAATTAAGTTTTGAACCAATATCCACAAATTTCCAACTTTTCAAATGTCCAAGGTCGGATCATACACCTTCTCTGTTTCAAAAGCTAGCCAGGTCAAGGATTCCCATATCGGGATTTGAAGACTTTCCGAGCCTTTCAATAAGTCCAGAATTGTGGAATTAAAGATTGTTAGGCTCAGTAACGCGGGGCTATGACTAATGTGAGGGCAATAAGGTGATGGGCTAAAAGAGGGTTTAGTTACTGATTGTGTTGATCTTTCTAAATTGTCTCTTCAATTGTCATAAGCTGACCTAGATCTAGGGTTAAAGCAAAATATTGGGACAAGAATTGAAGAATTGGGATACAAAGAGAAGAATCAGAAATGGGGACTAGGGCTAGAAGAAGTGAGGAAGAGAGAATCCAAGGAAGAAGAAGAAGAAAAAATTCAATAATTTCTTAATTACGACCAAAAGGTGACGTTTACACATTGACTTCCCTTATTTAGAGTATGACCAAACGCAATCTAATTGCATATCAGTCCATGCACTAACTATCAATTCTATTATAACCCAAGGGCATGACAACTCTATCCCCATAACCACCATAAAACAGTCTTGTCTTCAAGACTGTCAGTACAAGATTACTACTGCTACACAAATACTAAGAACAAATCAATCAAAGTGGTAGCTAATGCCATCGGTAAAGACTAAATGGAATTGGAAACTATAATAAGCTAAGAAGTATAACGCATAAGAGCATAAAAAATGATGAGAACACTACCAATTCACTACTTAAACCTTCAACTATGATAAGTACACAACGACGTCCATTCTTTATCTATACCAACGTGTGCCAAGCGATCAACCAAATGAAATTCACATCATCTGTTACCAACATTGTTGCCCTACTACTGTCATAAGCAGTTGTCCCTCTTCTAAGACAAGTGATAACCAAAGGCCAAGACTTTTGTGTCCTGTTTGTATTCCAAAACATCTTTCACTATAGTTACTAGCTTTACTTTATCAAAAAAAACACCACAATCAACTTCAAGTAGGCCAACAACTATAAACCAAATCAACTCGACATTTCCAGCCAATTTAGCTTGATCTTCCACAACTGTAGGGCTTGGATTGATGACCTTATAGTTTGTAATCCCATGAGTTCCAATATCCACTTCATAGACACTAGTACCAACCAAAAAGTGCTACAGACATTTGGTTAATCTAATATACCACGAGTTACATCTTTACACTCAGTTACAATCTTGAACCATGATTTATCCACTTTATCCTTAAAATAATCCATTCCATTACCACAATCAAATTCAACAACCAAAGTTTCACATTTCAAATGTTTACTACGAGTATCGTCCTCAATAGAATTTCTATCTACATTCATGAAACCAAAAGGCATGTAATCATGTCCTTCATCCCTACTCATAGAATCCATATTTGACTGGACACATACAACACTCTCAGCAATTTCATCATCATGTGAAAATAATACTTCATTCATTGTATTCAATTTAACAGTATTCTCATTATTACTAATAGCTTCAATCAAAGACATCACATCATCAGGCCCAATAATATTGTCATCTAGCAACAAAGAATAACCATCTAATTTTGAGGGAACAACTTCAGAAGCCACAATTTCGACAAGATTCACAACCGGAGATGGAAAATTACCTTGTTGACATGCCGGAATTGTAACCATTGTCACTCGAGCACTTTCCGGTCGATTGAGTTTGGAATCCCACTTCTCCAATTGCTTTTGAGACATGGAGTCCTGATCCTCACTCCTACCATTGAACCCGACTTCACTCTCCCCAAACATACCGGCCAAGTTTCTTGATTAATTCCTCGAATTGCAAATCTTGTTTGTGGATAAGTTTGTCAAGTTTGGAATCAAGATATGAGCATCGACGGTCGTCCAAGCGGTCTAGGGCTTCCAGTTGAACGTTGTCCACATTGATTAACAACTCCATTTCTCTCATCGATTCCTCCACTGCTACACGTAATCCTGTCATGACTTGGAGTTGATTTAATAAGATGAATTTTTTATGGAAATGATCCGAAGAGAAAGAATTTTGGAAAAGAGTTGAAGAATGAGAATTGAAAGGGAAAACTTAACGGAGTGGAATTCAGAACGATGAAGAACTAATTCGAAAATGCAAATTTGGTGGCGAATCGAAGAAAAAGAAGAAGATTTGGAAATGATTTAGAATTGAATTCGAGAAGAAAGAATCGAATTCAAAGAATAGAAGACATAATCAATTTCGGATAAAATCGACAAAGAAGAGCGATCAAGCAATCAAAGTTTTTCAGCGGAAGAAATGAGAGAAATTCGAACAAAATAGCTAAGAACCTATTAGCTATGAGGCCAATTTGTCATGAATTGAACTAGATCTAGGATTAAACCAAAATATTTGGACCATAATTGAAGAATTGGGATACAAAAAAAGAGAATCAGAAATGGAGATTAGGGCTAGAAAAAATCAGGAAGAGAGAATTCAGGGAATAAAACGAAGAACAGATTCAGTAATTTCTCAATTATGACTAAAAGGTGATGTTTACACATTGACTTCCCTTATTTATAGTGTGACCAAACTCAATCCAATTGTAGATCAGTCCCTGCACTAACTATCAATTCTATCACAATCCGAGGGCATGACATCAGTGCACTTGACTGCTTGATGGAAGAAATCTCATGGGCAACATTTCACTCAGTTTAGGGACACACGGAATTCAGCCTACAAGGTTAAACGTGCATTGCCTCAGGCCTTTGAGGAAAAGAAAACCTCGGCCTACGAGGCCAATCGGGTTCGTTAAGGCGCATATTTGAGGTTCCTCTAAAGTTGCTAGGTCGACAAGAGTCTGGTTCCACGACAATAATCACACTTTAAGACATGAATTATAGTATCTAACAAGAAGGCTGAATTCCTCAAGAACCATCACCTTTGAAAAAATTTTATACTACCCTGTCAGTGGCGGAACAAGCTTTTTGCTGTTAGGAGGCTCACTGAACACTAAAGTAGACGGTACATAAAAGTGGAATTTGTATTTTGAAAGAAAAAAATAAATTAATATCCAACGTCATTGAAAGTCATGTTTACATATGATAAGAGTTACACATTGATACGAGACATCTTAAATCTTCAAGTTGATATATCCTAAAATCGTTGCAAAATAATTTCATTTTCAATACATACACAAACTTCTTTCTCAACGTAACACAACATACCATCCGTGAGAAATTCATCTCCCATCCTATTATGCAAACCATTCTTAATAAAATTCATTGCAGAGAAGAATCTTTCCACAATAGCTGTCAATACAGGCAAAACTAACGTGAGCTCAATGTGTCGATACACCAACTTAAAATACTTGTGCCATTTTGTTGCAACTACTTTTTTCGCAAGGTCTCCAATGTCATCAAGACCTTCAAAAGATGCTTCTGACTGAACATAGTTATGTAATGTTCAAGTTGCTCAATTATATCTTCTTTCTCAACAAAGCTAAAATCATTTGGATATAGACCTGCAAGACAAAGTAGCCGCTCAGAGTCAAACATCTTAAATGAGTCTCTAAGACTCAGACATGCAATGAAAGTAAGTAGCTCTGAACTTGTCTCTGAAAATTGATTATTCATTTCTTCTGCAATTAGATTCTTCTGCAATTAGATCGATAAGCTATCATTGAACAAAATTTGGTTTAGTGATTTGTAAAGAAACAACTCTATATTTACCAATGGGCAACAAAATTTGGTTTAGTGATTTGTAAAGAAACAACTCTATATTTGCCAACGGGCAACTAGCAGAGAGAATCGAATTCCTGTTTCCCTATCGCTGCATTTGATATGGTATAAACTCGACAAAGATAAACTCACATGAATCAAGTGCCTCAATTGGAACCTAGTGCACTGAATCAAGTTTCCTTTCCCCTTTTCATCTCTTTGATACAGCTTAAACTCGGTAGAGATAAAGCGGCACGACATCGTGTTCTTACGAGAAGTTAAGGGAAAAGTAAATCTCTGTGGAACACATTTATCTTGCTTTTGAGGGAAATAGTGGGGGGGGGGAAGGGTGGGCAGATGTTTTACGACACTTAGGGTCAAATGTTGTCATTGTTGCGCTCCGACCTTCCTCGTACTGCCCCACCTACTACCTTTTCTATTGAGAATGCTGATCATCCTGAGAAAACCCTTTGAATTTATGAAAATGATGATGTTGGTTGAAGGCTTTGAATCCTCGCATGCAACCTCCAACAATGTGGAGATGTCAACTTTAAGAAAAGTTATCGAAGCATTGGAAGAGAGAGAGTGTTTTTAGTCTGCCATCAAAAGAAAAACTTTGTTGCTTTTCAATGAAACTAATGGATAACACTCTTCAATGTTTCAAAATTTTGTTTCCCATGTTTTCGGCTTATTTCTTTTCAAATAAAGAAATTCTTATAAACTTGTGAAGTTACTTAGGCAGCCCATGATTCGATCCAATTAGTTTTTCTCTATGTGATGTGAGTTTCAAGTAACGGATGATGAAGGTGGTAAGATGAGATAGAGTTGCTCTTCTTGGTGCTTTGAATTTCTTAGTAGGAATGATGGTCCACCCTTTGAAGTGGTTGTAATCAATGAAATTTATGGGCACTTGTAGTCATTGTCACCTTCTTTGATAAATCCAAAAAACTAAACTTTTGAATTAGAAAAAAAAAGCCAATGCATAATAATGGTGGCAACTATGAACCAATATTCATTCTCGCTCTAGAATAGGACATTAATTTAATTAGAAGGGCCAAGAAACGCTTTACATTTTAGCTCTGGTTCATATATCTCGCTCGAGTTTCTTGCTACAGGCTACAACCACAACCATAGCTCAGCTCCAAGTCTCTAATGAAGCTGAGGGAGTATTGATGAAAAGCACAATATTGTTTCCAATTTTTGTATGAACTATGAACTAATTTTTAAACGATTTTAATAAATTTAATCCAAGCTGTATTTCTCCCGTGGGAGAAATATCATGTCAAATATATCATCGAATTGAGCTATGATAATCTTGAAAATCATAATTAACCTTAGCAACCACCATCACATCTAATGGAGAAGACGCATACATTTCCATTCCTCTATCAAAACAAAGAAGCAATTACTGATTATTCCTACCACCTTAATTATTTCAATAGAACACTCACATCCCTATATTCTTGTTTTCACTTATCACCATACACTGTAGGCGACAACAAAACTAACTTCAACTGAGCCAACATAGATGATTACTTCTTCATATTCTTGAATTACATCCACTCGAGCATTGACATGTTGCTTGAAAAGATCTTTTATGAGAATAATATCACTACGGGAATTGACTTTGTAACCAGATGGCTGAAAATTCTTGTTTACGGGCACCCAAAATTCACCGAGTTTTTGAGTTCTTTTAACTTTAATAGGTTTACTAGGTAAATTTAGTGAAACATCAGTAGCACCCGTTTTTTGTCCTCTAAACCAATATTTCACCACTTGTTGTTTCTAAAATTGTGAAAATAACACAAAAACAACCTATCCATAATAACTACAACTCCTGCTGATCAGGAACTCCTTGCAATAACACTTTGATTTGCGCAGAAATCGAATTATATTGCATTAATCTTCTTGTGGAATCACTAAGGGAAGTCTCCCTTCAATTGCATCTCTACAAAAACAATCAAAATTCATATATATAACTTGTTTTGCTAATGTCCTTTTTGGTCCCCAAGTTTTCAATAATTTTTTAAATTTTCACCAATTTTAATTTCATTCCAACAAGCTAGTCGTAATTCTATCGCCTAATAGATCAAAGCAGACTAATAAAGTAAGACAGAGAAAATGTTGTGAAATGAAAACAAACTTACTTCAGAGTATAGATTGCACAGACATCTGTGAAGTACACCAGCCCAGTGGGTGTGTCAACATAAATTCCACTAAGGAACTTAAATATGGTACACCATTAGCACTGTTGACTAGTAAAATGGCTTGTCCACCATTTGGTCCAACCTTAAAAAGACCAAGATAAGCATCTACAATGTAGAGTATTCCAGTTATTGTATTGAAACTGAATCTGAATGGTCTTCCGCATATTGGACCTAAATTTAGGTCTTTTCTACCGTCACAGATCTACTTAGTCCTATAGCGAATCGAACAATAGACAAGACAAAATCAGATGTTAAATTTATGTATGTATAATGTAATTTTTTTTTCTTTTTTTGGAAAAAAACATATAATCTAATTAACTATCACATTTTAGTAATATTTGAGCATATATATAGCAATGAATTAGCTATGAGAGTAGCGATCTTGGAGGTAAGAGATTATAATTAAATATGAGACTTTTAAATTTTTTTGTTATATCATTATTTAGGTTGCTAGAATGTACATTTTTTTAAAATATTTTTCTGATTTCCTTGAAGAGGGTCGTCTTCGAACTTCCCCAGAGAGAATATGTAGTGCAAGTTATATTGGTGTTGTAGCCTTGTACTCGAATATTGTTAAAGAAAACAAAAGTCCTCTTATTTTGATTTCTCTATGCAGTGTTTTTATTTTTACTTATATCAGTAAGAAACTACTCAAATGAAACAGCCCCAAAAAACGAAGAAGAAAATCTTTTTTTATCATACTTCCGTATGTGGAAAAAATTTTATCAAAAACTAAATATTTACCTACGGAAGTATTGGATAGAACCATTGCCCTATTACCCTTGTTAACCCCTTAGATACTATCAAGGTTTTACCGTCATTAGTACGGCTCCTATAAGTAAACATACAAGTACGCTTTCCTTCCAACACCTAAGTTCTCAGCATTTGTAACCAAAAAAAAAAGGAAGAAATATAAAAAGTTAGAAAAATATTCACCAATTGTGATATTTAATCTTAACATCTTGTAATTCATTTGAACCATATTTTCAGCCGTTAGCATCAAGCAATACTAAACTGACCATCACATGTAACTCAAAGTAAACTTCTACAATTTCTAACACTTTCTGCTAATTTTGGATAGAAAAAG